CGAAATATTTTATGATGTGTTCAAGCTAATACCTAACTCCGCACTATAAACTTCCTTTGAACGCCACAACCGAGAAACCATAAACAGCAAGCGCAATTTTTTCTCTCAACCTCATACTTAAAGTGTACTCACCTCTGTTCCCTGCCAAAGCGAAAATTGTCAAACCCCAAAAGGAATGAGGACCCTCTTAGAAAAACGAATCCCTCGGAGTTCTCCTGAAAAAACAGCAAGGAACACCAGAAAAAAAAAAAAAAAGAAATGCGAAATCTCGCTTTCTCTTGTTTCATCGCAGCGCATAGCCGGTATGACGTAGTCGTACAGCCATCGATAGAGAAAAATCTCTAGCCGTGGCGCCATTGGCGCACACGGGTGGAAAGGAAGATAGCGATAATTGGGTCCCAAAAGTATAATGACCACCGAACCCTGTATTATGCGTCCAGTCCTCCATTAACCCCCTCCGAGGAGGGGCTCAAAGGGGCGGATGGACAGTGCCTCGGGACAGGTGGTCAATTACACTTTCGGTTTTTCTGCGAAGAGTCGGCGTTGCCGTTCTTCTTGTCGCCCCCTCTGAGTGAAAAAGTCTCGTCTCTTTGGGAATATATACGTGAGTTGATGCGTGCTCACGCAAACGCACCCTCTGATGCTGTAATGAGCTGAGCATGAACTTTCTATTCTTTTCTTTTTTTTTTTTTTTTTTTTTTTTTGTTCATGGTGCCTCCAGTGGACGGTCGGCCGACGCCCTTTGGCTCTTTGACGCCACGGGAGTGCCTTGTGATTTTACCAGAGCATAAGGATAAGTCACAGGTTATTTATTTATTTTTTTGTGGAAAACGAATTTCGAACCCCTTATGAGGACAGGCTTTTTTCTAGCTAAGAAGAAGAAGAAGAAGAAGAAGAAGAAGTTTACATCTTAAAAAAAGATGAAAAAATTAGAAATTGAAGAAAATACAATTTCTTTGTGGTTACTTTTGCTGTAAAAAATTTATCAACTTTCAAAGCCATTATCGCAGCACTGCTCTTCAGAGTAAGAGGACATAATGTTAATGTTTTTTTTTTCTTCTTTTTTTTTATTTTTTTATTTATTTAATGTAGAAAATTTACGGCTTATCATAGAAAACTCAATTGTTAATTTTTTACGCCAACCTATCTTAAATTTTATACTCTGATATTTTTTTAAAGATTTTATTAACATCTGTATGTTATTATAAAATATTATGCAAAAACAATATTGAGAGCAATTAGGTGGTTATTTCAAAGTTCATATTTTTTGTTTTCAGACTCAATCTGATGATGTGACGGTAGTCATGCGATGTTACTCTGAGCGGTTTCGTAAAGTATTATTTTTTTAATCTCTTCTTGTCACATTTAATCAGGATACACACATGTGTTTTATCTAAAGAATTCTAGTGACAAACAAGTTTTTTTTTCTACGGAAAAAAACCTTTTTTTATTTCAATACACAGACTTACACAGACACTTGTCATCGCCGGAAGTACGGTTTTTTCCGCTCGACGCGCAGGAGCAAAAAATTGGTTAATCGATCGTACTAATCGGCATATCCTGGATGTTCAAGGGGAAAAAAATAAGGAAACATCAGTTTGCTACTGTAGAGTCACTGTAAAGAAGATGATTTGTAAAATTGCTCCATCACGTCAGAATTTTTTTTTTTTTTAATTAAAAAAACAACCTTATAAGTGACAATGCTTTTACTCTAGTGTTCAATTATTACATAATGAGTCTCTATATGAAAAAAGTGGGTTCAGTGCCTCAGAATATGCAATAAATGTATATTCACTTCAGTACCCATCAACTTATTTTATTTTATGGTTCCGTGTTATTATTAAAATGTGAAAAATCATGAAAGTTGTTAAAAAATTACAGGACATTCGAAACGAAATAAAATGGTAATAAAAAGAATGAACAAGTTCGTATGACTTTTAAAAGTTGGTCTAAATTTATTTATTCTTTCTCGCGTGGTATTTTTTTTCTCACATGGTATTTTTTTTTATTGGAAAAATAATTTGTCACTTGAAAAAAATTAACCACAAATTATTTCTCTGCACAGCACAGCACATGTACTTATCAGTACTCAGAGAAATCCAGAACCCGCTCCTGAGCACACCCTGTGGACTTCGTCTTCTTCATTGCACCAGTTTTCTGGCTGCTCCGTGTGTCCTTGGAGGTCGAGGGTGTAAATAATTCTATGTTCTTCATATTCGTAAACTTGACCTTCTTTTCGTGAGAGTTCTGAAATCCGGAGGATAAAATGACATACTTGTCGTTTTTTAAAGTCATTCCATCAAACCGCTTCATCTTGCTACTGTCGAATTTCGAATCTTGGTCCGCCATTGATGAGTTGGTGGCACAGCTAATTTTTATTGAATATGAAAAAGAAGTAATGGATGGATTTTCTTAAGAGAAATTTTCTCGTGATATCCTTGTGCCGACGATTTAGACAGAACTGACAAGCTAAAACTTAATACAACATGCACCTTGACGAAACGTATTGGTCACTACCTTAATTGTTAACAAATGAGCTACGATAATAATAGAACATGGAATCTAGATGTGCCCGTATGTGTGTGCACACGCATGTGCATACACATACATGTGTGCTGATAAGATTTTAAAAAGCGGTATAACTGATAATTGCCTTGGTATCTGAAAGTGAGGGTGAGTCACACCAAAGAGCCTTAAGGTAGTCGTTGGCCCAAAACCCACTGATATTAATTGATTTTACAATAACAACAATTCAATATAATTATTTGTAATTGTAATGTGTTTAATAAGAGTATAAGAAACATTACCTATAAGTACAACTACAATGATAGTATAAAACTATAAAAAATTTAAAATAGTATTTATTTTTGGTCACTGTATAGATATACTTAAAAAATGGAAAAATTTATTAAAATTGAAATATGTTCTAAATAGCCCAATTTTTCCCATTTTTAAATAAAATATTTCTATAGCCATACGTAATAAAATATTAGTTTTTGAATGAAATTAATTGTATAACTATTTTCTAAATAAAATGAAACGCATTTTACCTATGCTCGCCATGTTACGTAGTGCAACTTTGAAGTCTTATATTTTCGTTTCAGCACCACTGAGTCATCTGAAATTTCGACAGTATATTTAAGACATGTTTAAAATTTCGAGAAATTATGTCGTCTCTTCATTTCATCAACTACCATACCTTAACTGACTCATTCTTGACAAGCAAAATAAAGAATATGGGTGAATATTAGGTGAATACAGTGGATTGTTAATGCCATTCGTCTTATTTAGAATTTTTTTGGAATCGTCGCGAGTAAATTATTTATGGTATACTTGTTACTTGTTTTGGTATCTCACAGCTTCTTTTGTGGGGAGTGTATTAAAACTCAATGAAATTATTTTCAAGAGACAACAAACGCATTCATTTATCAATTGTTTTTGGTGTTTCTTTAATGAAGACAGTATATTTAGAGAAAATAATATAGATATTATATACTGTATTTACTTCGAATTTTTGGATCTACAAACCAAAATTCTAAATGCAGACTAATTTTCAAAGGACATGGAGTTGAAGAAATAAAATCGGAGTTAATCTTCCTATATTGGGGAGATGGCGAGCGGAACTTTATGTTGATAATTATTTTTATCAAATAAAATAAATAAATAATGTTCTAAATATTAACAAAAGAATGTTATTACTCCAATACTTTATATACAGTAAAAAAACTTTTAAAAATTGGTAGCTTGTTTTAGTAAGGTTTGGTAGAATAAAAATAAAGGTCAAAAAGAATATAAAAATCATTTTTTCAATCAAAACTAATGCTGATATTGCTGCTTTAATAACTTTTCTGACTAGATTTAATGAACATAGCACAAATTATGGTTAGACAAGGATATTCAATTTTTTTTTAACTTAAACATTCGTATAAAAACAAGTTTCTCTATTTAATTTATAGTCTTGTAATCGATAAGAAATGTATATTTTCAATATTTTTAACTAGAGTTGACAGCTAATTAGCGTCATAATATTTTTAATTTTTGTGCTCTAAATTTTGTTCATAAGAAATTTAACTTATGATTCATGAAGAAGTCTTATCAAAACTGCTTCGTCATACGGAGGCTCATGTCTGTTGCGTATTTTGTGTGAAACATATTTCTGTAGAAGGAGCCCTCATAAAAATTGCATCATTGCGACTTTAGTAAGCCGCTTCCCTTGGAATCCACGAAACACCTCTTTTACTCCATTAAAGTAATCTGACAAGCCATGCCGTAACCCATCGTTAAAATTAAGCTGCAAACGAGTTTCGCTCTTGACAAAAAAAAAAAATTATATTGATCTCGATCTCTGGAAATGTTGTACAATACAATATTGATTTTACTCTTTTGAATATGCAACAATAAACGTGAGCAATGTAATTTTTTTTGTTTTTATTTTTTTCATTTTTACATTAAACTTTTTTTTTAATACATTCATGAAAAATAAGAGTAATTTTTAAATGTTATACTTAAATCGTTACCTTAGCATTTAAAAATGGATAAATCAACGAAGATTCTAAGACAGGAAAATCATTTTTTTTTATCCTGACAATATTTTTAAAACAAATTAACTTTCATCGAACATATTAAATCCCCCAAGACTTAAAAAATACCCATTACGCATTCATTACGTATGAAATCTAAGTGATCGCAAAATCTTCTTTATGTTTTCCTCGAATGCGCGCTTATTACGCAAAACGGTTGTCGACAATAACACAGCAGTAAGCAGCCGACTTTTCGGGACAGGCGATTTCTCGTTTTAAAGTTGGGTTGGCCTTTTATAAAAAGGGAAATTCGCTTTATTGCTCGGCCATTTGGGTGCCTTTGCGATGTTAAAATTTTTTGTATAAAAGACAGTCTGACTGACACTGCTTCTCAGTCAACATCTTACTCACCTACAGTATTCGTGTAGCATTTTGATAATTTTATTTAAAATAGAGTTGGTTTAAAACTTTGGCAAAATAATGATTAAGGTAATTTAAACATCATAATGTTGAGTCTGTTAATTTTTTTAAATTATTCTTTCATTTCTGATAACAAGAATAATGGAGTTTTTAACTGTTTCAAAAACAAAATACTATTATATAAAATGATTTTTTTAAATCTTTAACTTATGTAAATCAGCCAATAGAGTATTAAGTACTGAGGTTGGACATAGTTTAGACATGAACCAATTCATAACAAAAACAATTTTTCAAACACTTCTTCTTGGGTATCACGTGATTCTAAAAAAGACACTTTTAGAATTAACTCACTTATTTTGTGCGTACTATTACGTGATACAAAAAAAATACTGAGCTGAAAGTCTACCCCATCAATTATACAAGCTTATACATTACCAACTTATACAAAACTAATCTGTAGCTCTTTTTTATGTACACAGGTGATTACTATACTTGCCCTGGTGATGGCAGTCTCATTAGCAAACGAGCAATCAACAAACAATGACAAAAAACAAAAGCGTGGTCTCTTGGATCTTGGCTATGGCTACGATTCTGCGGCTTACGCGCAACCTTCGATCTACACGTCTGGTCTTCACACCAGTGCCATCATCACCAAGCACGTGCCTTTACCTATCATCCAAAAGGTACAAGTACGCATTTTTATCAATAATCCCGCCTAATTATGGATTTATATTCAAAATTTTTGTTTTGTTTTTGCTTCCTACTTTTACACTGTAATTCTATTGACATGCTTTTATTCATTCGGTAAAATTTATTCCCAATTATATCAAACAAATCACACTTGTTTGTGCATAGTTATTTACAATTTTTTTTATTTTTTACCAAGCACAGGTCGCCGTGCCAGTCGACCGTCCACTCCCATACGCCGTTCCAATAGTTAAGGAAGTTATCAAGCACGTGCCAGTACCGTATCCTCAGTCTGTCGTCGTTGAAAAGTACACCAGTTACAACGCACCCTGGTGAAAGGAGCATTCGAGTAAATAATTTCAAATGGCAAATCCGTGATTGTAGGTAATACACACTGCAACAGTTGTGTTTACAACAGTGCTATAGTAGATGTTTCAACAATTAAAGTGTTGTACAGTATTGTTTATGATAAAAATAAGAGTAAAAATTAAAATTTTTTTTTCCTTGTATTTTTTGGCTATTTTGACTTATTTTATAAATTGGCAGAGTTTATTTTATCTTCTAGTGAACATTGCATAATAAATAAAATCATATTTTCATGAGTTTAATTTTCTTCCATTTTTTCCTCTTTATCAAACCTCTTCAACTGCAAAACACCATGTTTTAAGATGAAAACGAAAAGGATGTATCCAAACAGATCCCAACCCAAAGTAAATTGTTATTATAATTGTTAGTGTCACTACTATATTTTTTTTCATCTATCATATTGCAATGTTTATGTTCACTTGATAACATGACTCTATTTATATCCAAGGAAAATGTGTGTTTGAAATTTTTTCTTCAATCTCAGCTTTCATCTGTCTCCATTTCTTTCAAGACTCAACTTTTACGTTCCTTATTATCACTCACCATACATATCGTGTCATTTTTGCTAAGCTAACAAGTCTGGGCTAACATGTCTATATCGTTTTTAATTTTTTAAATATTTATTGATGCTCTTCGAATTTTGTGATAGCACTCCTTTGTTGATAATACTCTTTGATTTTAATTCTACATATTTTTAATCGTCATCTCTGGACTTTTTACACATAAAATATTATTTCTTTTTCACATTTTTAACATATAAGATACATTTGTTAAATATCTAGAAGATACTGAAACCATTACAGTATNAGATATTATAACTCTATTCCTTTAATTTATAATAATGGGTTTTAATGCAAAACAACTTATCGTTTTTAATGAAAATAATTTGGCAAATTACAGTCTCACCTAAAAACAAAAGTATACCTTTATGGTTTCTGTAAATTCTTGAATATAGTGAATGACTGAGATATTTTATAGAACAATATCAAGCATGTCTTCTGTTAAAGGGTTTTGAAATATAGTAGTCCCAAGCTTTCGTGATTAAAACACTGGTCTTCATAAAATGACAGCTATTTTAAAATATACGAACAGCATACGTAACAGTATAGGCACATTTAACACTCGTAATTCAATACCCTTCGTACAAATGGATGAATTAATCTTTACTTCCTGTTTAAGTGATACTAAAAAAAAAATAATACATTTAATTAAATTAGTTTGAATGTCATCAAAGATTTCCATACATAAAACATTGATAAAAATTCTAAATTTCGTTTCGACTCCAAACAACGTTCAACTTAATGTTGTAAACAATGATGCCATGCGCTCAACAATGATTATTAATATTACAGCAGCTGAAGATAATATAATATAAGCTCTTTTTTTATGGTTTGTGTAAATAATTCTTGATACGTCGAAATGTACACTTTCCCTTAACAGCTCACCTCAACACTATCCAGAAGCAACAAAATCCAGAGCAGAACCGAATGACACAGCTGATGCTGATGTCAAGTTGCAGGTGTTAAAGTACCCACGAAACGCACCAAGTGAATACACACTGTACACATAAACATTTGTACAATTAGTACTTAACGTTATCTTGACATTAAAAATACCAGAAATATAAACTTATGAAAAAACCCGAACTTGAAACTGCACAACTATTCAATCTGCGTAACTTTTTGCCATCTCCGTTAATTCCCTATAGTTTACCTTTGCCGTAAATGTGCGAGGTAACTTTTCGATAAAGATTACATCAACATTCATCGAGTATTCTTTCAAATTGGCAGTTAGTACCTTTAATTCTTCTGCTGTAACCTGTTGATTATATAACACAAATTTTTATCGATTACTGTTCAAAGTAAACTTTTGAAATAATCAAAATGGACATAATACCATTACCTTGGATCCCGCTACTTTAACAACAAATGCAATTAGTCGCTTAACAATAACTTGATGAGGTACTGGCACAACTGCAACGTCATCAACGCCAGAATGTTGCATCAAGTCATCTTCTATTTTAGCCAAGGAAATACGATCTTTATCCAAAAGTACAAACCTATCGATACGGTCCGTCAAAAATATTTGCCCATCACCGTCAAAGTAGCCTTGATCTCCAGTATGCAACCAGCCTTTTGGCATAGATTTGAAGAGAATTAAATAGTTATTAGTTAATTATTCAATATAATTGAGCATACCTTCGTTATCTATCAATTTGTCAGTTTTCACTGGATCCTTGTAGTAGCCAAGTATCCGAAAATTGACTTTGAAACAAAGCTCCCCTTCTTGATTCGGACCAAGAGTGCAACCAGTATCTGGATCGATTACTTTCATTTTGACGTCTTTCACAACATGTCCAATCGAATATACGTTTGTGTGATCCTTGTGCTGTTCTGTGACAATGCCTCCTGCTTCTGTCATCCCTGAGCAATAATAAATAGCTTATGTTTCTTGTTTTTTCTTTTGCTTGAAGTATGTCTTACCCTTAGAAATACGTGAGCCAAACTTAAATGTATTATACTTTAAAAACCTAGTAGGTGATAGCTACAGTGAGGGTATTAAGTATTAATAAATAAGTAGTTCGAACTTAGGTAACAAACAGCATCACTGATGATGACGTTATACTTGTTAAATTGTGATGTTTAGAAAGGATATTCTCTAAAAAAAGCTAAAACTACGGTTACTTTTATACTAATTAATTTTGTTTTATTGTTAAAAATAGAATAGTAGTTTAGCTGTAATTTTTTCGTCACAGTATCAAAACTCTTTATTTTTATACTTAGATACGTAAAAATATTTAAATTAAACATTTTTCTTTTCATGAAGAAAATCTTAATGGATGAATACAATTTTTTTGCTAGGAACATGCAAACGATAAGTAAGGGGTTAAACACATGCGTTTACTTTTTGAATCAAATTATTCTAACAAATCAGTGGTAACTACTTAAGTTTTTCAAGTTTATTAAAATAATTACGCGAGCACAAACCTAAACTCTATCTCTTTCTCAATTTACATTCAATGCTAATCGTATCTTTATGCAAGCTCATTTATTTATACCACATATACAATACATTACATAACAAGGGAAGAGCTAAGAACTCCTCAAGTGTTACTTACATAATACTTATCTGTAAACCTCACTCTCAACTTATAGACGATATAAATATGTGTTTTCCAATGCTTTTAAGAGCAATACGTAAAGTTAAAGGTATATCAATTTTCGTGGACTTATACATAAGTTTAAACTTACCGTAAACATTAGTAACAAGTGTATGAGGCAGAATTGTCCGAATTTCGTCGACCAGCCACTGTTTGCACCTTGATCCACCTGCACGAATGTATTTTAGTGATGCGTAATCGTCCTGATTAATTACTTTTGCATTCAACAACATTGTCAACGTTATAGAGCTTAGAATAGCCAATTGTACCTTTTAACATAAAAACGTGCATTATCATTAAAATGGAATAATGTAATTCTTAGTTGGTTCAAATTACCTTATGCTTCTTGATAATTTTTGTAGTCTCTTGAGGATCCCATTTACAATAAACTATTCGGGTTTTCCGAAACAAAATGCAATGTATTACAAAACTAACTCCAACAGACCAATGCAAAGACATATCAGTCAATGCAACATTATTATCTGATACATTTGAGGATCTATTACGAAGTTTAGCCATACAATCGTAGGATATCATTACACTTTTTGGAAAACCTGTTGTTCCTGATGAAAAGGCTATAAGGCATACTTGACTGTCTGGATCTTTGAGTTTGACAGGACGAAAGTTATCCACTTCATCTTGGCTCTGTTCTGCTAATAAATTTCTTAACGATGGGTACTCCGAGTGTGTCCCAAACACTACAAATTTGCACTCAATGTTCATTTCCTTCGCCACTTTGGCAAGTCGATCAATCGATTTTTCACTAGCAAATACTACTTTTGGTGGTACCTGGTCAAAATAATACCGAGTAATGTCTAAAAAAAAAAATAAAATCAATAGTAATCTATATTTTTTTAAATTATTGATTGCCAATAATGGATTGGTGTTAAAGTTACCGTGACCCAAGTCGTGATACCAGGTATTGCAAATAGCCCCAACATAAAATGTAGCCAGAATCGGTACGTAATCGTCGGTTTGATGAGGCGTTGAAATACAGACGATGTCATCCTTTCCAATATTCTGTTTCCTCAGCCACAAAGCGCATCGAATACTGCGATCTTTCATTTCAGCAAAAGATGTCACTTCTTCGGTGTGCGTATTAATCTACGAGTAGTTTTAAAATGCATGAAATTTCCAGGAAAATAGTGATCTTGATGTGAAATCAATTACCTGACCTGCAAAATCAGGGTTTTTGCTTAACGTTTCGAAAATCGACTCTGAAATACTCATTGGATCTAGGGTTGGCGATGGATTTCCAATGAGAATATTGTCTCTTATGGTAAAAGTTGGATAAACCTAGTAAAAATTCAATTTATAGAAAATATTAGAATATTAAGAAAAGTGCTTGAAATATATTGGCTTTAAATTGTAATTAAAATAATACTACCTTTTCATTATTTTTGTTACCCATCTTTAATTTGATTTATGATTTAAACCAAAAATAAACAAGTTATTGATTCGTACAGATTATGATTGGTGTTAAACAAGGATTTGTGATTTCTTTTAGTTGCGATAAAGATTTAATTTGCTATCCGTATTAATATGGAATTTCTCTTCTTACCTAATAAATACAAAAAAACATTTTTTAATTATTTTTTCATTTTCTTCCTCTTATAAGTTACACGTAACAGGACACAATATGATTTTTTTATTTTTAACTAGCAATTGGGTCTGAATAAAAATGTTTCGATCAAAAAAAGATTTTGAAGTTAACATGATTCTAAGCTTCGCCTTATTTCAAGAAAGAATGTATGGTATATAAAGTTTCAAACAAAGTAAAAAATTTTATTTAATAGTTATTGATAGTACA